GGCGGGGCGGGAGCGCCCGCAGGGCAGCGCATGCGCCATGGGGCGGAGCGGGCGGGCGAAGGGCCCCCGAAGATGGCGGCGAGGGGAGGCCGCGTTAACCTTAACGAGATGGCATTTAGGGCTGTTCCCCCAGAGAACAGAGAACACGCTTCTCTCTTCTGACCAAAATAAGTGTTTAAAATAAGTGGCAGATGCCAGGGAAATGGGAAACATTCGCCTACATCGTAGACTTTACTGTCTTGTAATAAAAAAATCACTGAACACTTCCGAAGATGGCGGCGAGGGGAGGCCGCGTTAACCTTAACGAGATGGCATTTAGGGCTGTTCCCCCAGAGAACAGAGAACACGCTTCTCTCTTCTGACCAAAATAAGTGTTTAAAATAAGTGGCAGATGCCAGGGAAATGGGAAACATTCGCCTACATCGTAGACTTTACTGTCTTGTAATAAAAAAATCACTGAACACTTCTTAAAAAAAAAAAAAGCACATTCATGGAGTGTCTTCTTGATACGCACAACTTTATTTTTTTAGTTAATGGATACAGTAACTTTTAAAATGTAGCCTTTTTAAAAGGATTAAAAAATACACCGAGTTTAACATCTGACATGCAAGGACCATAATAATAACAAAATGCTGACTAAAATGTCACTTCTGCATTGAAGTGAAAAAAAAGATGAGCACGTACAGTTGTGTTACTTAACAGATGCCTGAATTAGTACAAAATTGTACACAATACAGCTCCATTACAAAACCCATTATTTTGCTACCCTTCGTTTTGGTAGACAGTATTAAAGAGCACCCGTTGCTGCCTCCCTGGAACGGGCATCCGACGGCCCTTGCGTGTTGCTCTGCGTCATGTGTGCAGGAGCAGGCTGCACGTGAAATGCTGTTGTGCGGGAAGGGGCAAATGTTTTTTAATAACAAAATTAAGAGCAGATGCATCCTTGCCCTGAAGACGTATGCAGGCCAAAAATAAGTGCATTGCGTTGTATCGTATCACAACTAATTCCAGCTGAAATGTCATACCTGTAAATGAAGCTAGAGGACTGTTGAATATTTACATTTTTTTTGTTTGTTTCTAAATACTTTTATGGGCAAGAACTAGAGACGATTCCAAAATAATCTAAGCCTACATTTTTTGTCCAGTAAGAATCCGTGCTCAAACTTGGCAGTGCAGATGTTTGCTCCAGGACAAAACATTCACTGCCATCTTTTCAATATCCTTTTTCCTGTAGTGCATGTTCTGCATAAAAATAGCAGAGAGCTCTTTTTATCAGCCCCAAGTAGAGTGTTTCCTTTATGTTAAAAAAAAAAAAAGTGCATCTACTTTAGAAACACAATACATCCTCTGAGAAACACTGGCCTTACCCTTCGTTGCTGTGCGCGCTGGCAGCAGCGTCCTTGATTCAGGATAGCAGACACCGAGGCCGTGGCCTGATAGGAAAGGTTTGTCAGCAATGTCGGCACAAGTGCCAACCTCCTGAGTTGTGCTGGAGGGGGGGAGTGTTTGCTACTACCTCCTAAAAACCTAAAGTGTTAAATCACGGCTGCAGCATAAGCATTGCTGGGGCTTTAGTCAGTACTTCCATCCTGTGAGGTGCAGATCAGCCTGATTAGGTTTCTAGAAGCCCAGATCTAACTCTCAGCTTGTGGAGGAGCCTGTCCAACTCTGAATATAGGCCTACACCTTATGGGTTTGAACTAGAACATCAATATTGTCTACGGTGAAACCTGTATTGCATTTGAAATAATAAACTTCACTGAACAGCTGAAGTTTCTATCTTCCTCAGAGAATGAAGACATCAGCCTGGTGCAGTTTCCCCCTGTGAAAGGATCCTGTCCCACTGACTAAAGTTTTCAGGAGTTTTTCACAGATTTTGAAAGAGTTTGCTCAGGTCCTTAGAGCAGATCAACTTGCCTAGTGCTTGGCTTTTCACCTGAGGTTTCCCATTAGCATTACCTGCAGTAACAGTCTTCCCTGTGCAGTGTGATAGAACAAAATGTCTGACATAATCGAATAAGGAGATTTAGGTATGTGAACGTACTAAAGCTAACTTGCCCACATTGTGAAACTTATATATCAAAGGGATTTTGAAATCTGTATTTTTTATAATTTTGGTATTACATATTCCTTTGCCACACAGTTTCTTCTCCATTTTAAAAATTAGCATTGTGCTACAAGATTTAAGACAGTCTGTTTTCCATTAAAACAAGTTTCCTTATGAAAGTTAACAATATTGATTTCTTGCATATGTACTTTATGTAGTCATAAAATCAAGGATTCAAATTTTGCAGCTTGACTCCAGTGTCTTGTGTAAATTATTGCACTTAAGCATTATGGACTGTCAAATGCCTATACATTTCCCATAAAAGAACAGCAGCTGTTTGATGTAGAACATTAGAAATATATATATGCTATATAAAAATATAACTATTCATTAAACTAACTGAACTCCCAAAATTCATTTTAAAAAAACTTGAAACTAGCTTGTACTCTAACTTTTACTTGCATTTTGTAGCAGCCTGTGCTGCAAATTTCATTAACTATTAGTGCAGTAAGGTTTTTGTTAATCTATGTTGTGATGTGCCTTTTGATCAGCTATAGATATGTAACATATCCAAAATAATCTTATGTGCATACTTGATTTTTTGATTTCATATATATTTGTTAATTTTTTTTTATTAGCGATAGTGCATAATTTCCTTCACTGGGATTAATGCAGAACTAATAAACTACTGTTCAAGGGCATTCTCTATTGAAACTTACCGTAACTATTGTTTTATAGCAGTGCAGTGCTCAGTTTTGTGTTTGTATTAACGTTTCACCCGTCCCATGTTCAGGTATCTAACAACCTGCAGCAATTCAAGGAATTGCTTAGAAAGAACTATCAAAATACATTTTTTGTCAAGACTTTTGCCATCAAGCACCCTAACGATCTTGGATTGCAAAGCCTTGGCCAGCTAGGACTCCTGCCATCCTGCTAGACATTCGGCAAACACATAACAGAAAAACGAGTCTCTTCAACCCACCTGGGCCAGGTTAACACAAAGCAGCTTTTCCTCTGGTACACACTGATAAATCAGCATGATGCACCTTCTCCTGACTGGTGCCAGGCTGATCACATCTTTTGCAATAGTATCAGATTGGAAATTGCTCCCTGAATCAGCCTGGAGCATTTCAGGGATAAGGGTGGTCAAATGCGGGGATTTCTAGAGATCTGCATCATTCAGGCAAGGAAGCAGGGTTTTCTTCAAGTGCAAAGTTTGGTTCCATTTCAAAAAATGCTTATATATAACACCGGTGCTTATATAAATATTGCTGTGAGCTCACGGTTGCGGCAGTGCCAGCAGTTCCTCCTCATGAAGCGAGTCTGCGCATCGCCTGTTGACAGGTTTTCCAAGAGGAGAGAAGGGGGCAATGGTTAGTTCTGAGTACACACTGCTTGGAAAAATAAAATATTCATCTGTGCTCCTAATAAATTCAACCCGGCTTCAGTGAAAGGACAAAGAGAGTGACTATAAAAGGTCTGTTTGGAAACAACTTTCCTCTGACTGGTGTCTACATCAGAGGGTTCTCCCAGAAGCTGCAGATCTGGACCTTCACCTTCAAAAACGGGCTGGGAAGGTGGAGGGTGGAAACCACGCACAGCAGCATACCTTGGCCTGGCAGTTTTATCTTAGTGACTGCACTGTAAATAACTAGGCCCTTCTGGGACTGGGAATGAGAAGTCAGGGCTTTTTGGCCTGCTTGTCCTCATGACGTTGTGAATCCTTCACTGCTTTCCGCTCAGAGACGCGGAGTCTCTTGCAGTGCTTGTACCAATCAAAAAAGGAGGGGGTCAAATCAGCTGAAACTCCTGAGGGCTCAGTTCATCCAACATACTATAACAGCAAGGCAAGGGAATAAGAACAGTGTCCTTTAAATAACAGACCATTTCCATTCCAAAGCACGTACCTCGTCTTGAACGTCAAGTTCATTGTCAGGCCTGCTTGTGTCTGTGAACTCTATTGGTACCTTAGACTCCTGCATGAGGGAAATCTTGACAGAAAGAAATTAAGAAGCACTGTCAGTACTACTGAAGTTCATATATTGCTTTGAGGTACCTTTAGATAACTTCTATAACTCAAAAGGGTCTGTTGTTCACTGGTCCTTAAGGAAACTGTTGCTTTAGGTCTGCTGGGAAGCACTTGAGATATTGGAAAACACTGCCTGTGCTCATGGCTATAGTTATGGCTTTATAAAAATAATAAAAAACCTCTACATTTGAATTGCTATATGGCTTTATCAAAATTATAATCTCTGTTGAATTACAGCATCAAACTTCTAGATCCTGGGTTTAAAGCAAATAAATAAATAAATAAATAAATAAATGGTCCCACCAAAGTCTTTTATACATAATTTTAGTTATTTTTGTCAAAATTGTATAATAGGGATTGCTAGGGAAGAAGTTGCAGTGAGAATTCTCTGTTAAAAAGCCATTTTCCAAATGAATGGTGTGCCCACATTGTTAATACAGCAGAGTGTTTGGTTATGTCAGAAAACACCGAATAGAACTAAAAAATGCACAGAGGAGGCCAGTGTCCATGAACAGGAGCGTGGAGCGGCTGCAAGGCACGGTCACACCACGCACAGTGGGACTCTCCAGCTCTGAAAATGGTGACCGAAAGGTGCATATCAGGGAGGTAGATAAAAAAGCCCTGTTACTTGGGTTTTTTCCACTAACAAGATCCTTGGAACAATATTCCTGTGCTACAGAAGGTGCCCAGTTTGTAAGACTCTTTGCTATGACTCTGGGGCTAGTTTTCCAATGTGTAACAGAAGTTGCAAGAATGACTTTTAGATAATAGAAGGAAGGGAAACAAACACTGCTGGATATCCTCACCTTCTCAAAGAGAGGATCCTGGTTGTCGCTGTATGTCATCTGATTCCTGATGTAGAGCACAGCATCATGGACAGTCAAGAAGAACATGTCTTTTCTGACAACATCATCAAAGAAGGCGCTCCTTTCCAGCTGTGCAATAAGATTGTCTGAATAAAAAGAAGTCATCTGATTTAATCAGTTTGAAGTAATTTAGGAAATAAATGTCAAAACACATTGTTGCAACTACCAAAAATCAGAGGTACAGTCAAGTACCAAGTCAATCAGCCATAGCTTTGTCTTGGCCATTACTTCCGTGTTTCTTCAAACCCCCCCAGTCTTTGTCATTCACGTTTTTATTGGAACAAGTGCCTTCACAAACACTTCCAGAGACCCTTGAGATCCTTCTCATCTCCTTTGCATGGGTCGTAACAGAAATACCTGGATATTTACCTTGATATGAAGCAAAGTATACTTTGACATTGATTCTCTCAAATTCTCTAATTATCTGAGAAAAAAAAAAAGAAGTTACAACAAGGACATAATGTTTGCATAGACTATGTATACATATATACATAATACATACATATATATATGTAAATAAGCAACTACAGGTATATAATCTCTCTTTTTATACATGTACATCACAAATACACTTCTCATTTGTTTCTGACTGTTTTCATTCCAAAGCATGTATTTGATTATTCACAGCAAAAAAGAAACTGCTATACTTCGCTGTACTTAAATATCTGCAAGTTAAGTACCTGGTCTCCAAAGCAGCCAATGCAAATGGAGCTATATATTTTACACATACATTAAGGTTCTCAATCTATTCTCATAGAATAATCATGTCTTTTGCAAAGATAATTATGGGCACCTGAGCAATCTTAATCTTCCCTCATATATGTGTGACTTGAAACTATCTTTAATTGGCATGTGCAATATACATATACACATATATATATATACATATATATATATACATATATATATATATATATTTTTTTTTTTACGCAGACTTTTCATCATGTAGTGCACCAGATGGACTTGTTCCTGGATGGCAAAGTTGCATATGAAAAGAATGGTGTCTGTGCAACCCCGGTCTCATTCATCTCAGAGGCCAGAACCAATCTGAAATTAGGCAGAGGGCTGAGGCAGTCAGGCAGCATTCTTGTATTTCAGCTAGTTAAAAGCTCTCCTGGGAAAGTGCCTTCTGCCCCTGGCTCCCTGATGGCAGCCAGGTCTCATCAAACAGAGTTTTCAGAGATGGTTGCTAATTGCATCCTCTTCTGTTTCTTATTATCTAGGATCTTGATAATCTATGATCTGGTTCATAGATAAAGCAGGCAAACCCAACTGCAGTTTGAGGTCAGTGAAAGCAGGAATCTGAACATAGAAAGTATCTGAACAGCCAGGTCCTACGTGCATGTAATTGGGCATCAAAGACCATGAGGCTTTATCTAGGCCGTAATCTCTTCACCTCATTTCCCTCTCCCTAAACTGGGAATATTATCACTTCATTACCTCCAAGTGATGTTTGAAGATGAATTAAGTAATGTTGATGAAGGAATCAGATACTAGATATAGAAAAACCCACAAAGAAATGAATCATTCTTCCTTCATTTTAAATAATATGGAATAAACAAATCTTAGATCTAAAGACAAGGTAAGACAAAATAGCGAATACCACTTTGTTGAGTAAGCACCATCCTATATCTATATTAAGGGCAGGAGACAAGCTGAAAGAAAATACCTAGCTAAAGTCTTTCATAACACATGCATGCAAGGGGAGCCCACTCTGCAGCTCTTACCGACTAGTATACTTTACTATGCAGCCCCAATAATGTCGTTTTAATGTAATTTTGTTCTCTTCCCCTAAGACATGCACAGAGCAATATCATACCTGATGCTGTGAGTTTTAAAGGTAGATTTCAACAACAAATTTTGATAAACTCAGAAATGTCCAGCCAACAGCTCTTGATTTACAAACCGTTGACTAGATTCGTTGTTACAGAATACCAGAAGAAAGAAAAAGGTCCTTACCGTTCTTATTGACCTCACAGCTACAATATCCAAGAAGGACACTGCTCCAAAATCAAAAATGAGGCTGTGGATGGGCACCTTGGGGACATTTACTTTGACTGGGAGTTCTGAATTCCAGTCCACCTGTATCTCCACTTCTTTGGTGGGAACTTGAAGATCTTCGTTGTCTTCAGACTCCTCATCAGACTTGAAAGCTTCATTATTAATACCTGGCTCACTGATGATGCCATTCTAATAGAGCAGGTAACATACAGAGCATATCATTCAGTTGTGGAGATTGGGAATCATGCATGATACTCCTCTGGGATAACTTGTGTTTTAGGAATGAATGAGACTGATCCAAGTATTTGAGAAGAAAAACAAGATGGAGCAAATAACTATCTCCTCCCCTACGCTGTATATTTTCTTTCTTCCTATTTTTTGTTAAAAGAACATCTTCCTACACAAAGGCCACTATTTAGAAAAAAACTAGTATTTCAGAGCCACTCCTTCCCTCAGAAGCTTTATTTCTATTTAAGACTGGTATTTTCAGCTCTGAACTGGAGGTACTAAACATAATAATGCAGCAAAATTGCAAGGTTAGAAGTTGGATTGTCACATAACTAAACATATAACTCCATCCACAGGTGGAATGTATGCCAAAAATGTTGCATCCTGCACAGAGAGCACTGACAACATTATGTCCATTCCCAGCTTTCAGGTTTGGAGATTTAATAGGCCACTCCTATAAGCATTTAACTATAGAAATATATGTTCCATACTCAGAAAAACATGTGCTACTTCCTCTAAAGAAGATGCCGAGCAGCAGCAGTAGCTCAGCTGTGCATGGCAAGTTGGGTAACAGGAGCAGGACCGTACAGAAGAGGCAGCACTTGGAGTGCGCAGAGGCGGCCTGCGGTGCTCGGGGTTAGAAGTGAGAGCAGGCGCCTGTTGTTCCTCCTGCACTTGGCACCTCAGCTGCCCGGGGGTCTTTGGCAAGAGCTGTGCTGTTTGGCCAAGTCCCTGCGGGCCCCGTGCTCCTGCCGTGGGGAATCAGTCACACCTTTCATCTCTCTTCCAAAGATCAGCACAGAGGAGCTTACAATTAAGACTAAAGTAATAAGCATTAACAGCAATCCTTTGAGAAAGAAAAGAAAGAAAAAAATAATTTACCTTAGTAGCTTTTAATTTCCCCTTCTTGATTAACTTTTGTATCTTTTTCAGTGCTTTAAGTCTCTTATTATAAACCTTAACTGCATCAAATCCCACCTACAGAAAAAGGATCAAGACATCAAAATGATTTCATTTTGCCTATATAAAATTCCACAGAAATCCCAAAGCCAATTAAGTGGGATCCAGAAAAATCATCATGTATCACTTACTGTGGACTTGAGGCTGCTTTTCAGACCATCAATGTTAGCATAAAAAATTGGACTTGAAAACCTGAGAATTTTCACTCCTTCTGGTTCTACAGCCTGTTATCAAAGAATGAAAGGTCAAGGAGCAGCACCCATACTTGCATAGTAAGAAACAGTTCAGTAGTTAAGCAGAATCCAGCAGGTAGCTGATGCACAGAAATAAGACTGATTGTAGGCTGGCTTTAAAGAAAGTTCAGCTGCTGCAGTTTCTAGAAGCTCATTACCACAGCAAGCAATATGGACCAACCATCTGTATGGAGATGAAGCATTTAATGCTGAAACTTGCTATGCTCACACACTCTGCTTCCAAACTGAAGTTGTCTCCAGTCCGCACAACTTTCTTTTACAGTGACTTGCAAGTTGAAGGCAAACAGCTCAGCATTGACTTACGTTTTTGTAGTGCTTGACTTTCTTGTAGATATCCGTGCCAGGAATGTTGCCAAAGCCACCCCATGAAGGACTAACAGAAACAAAAAGGAAAAATGGTGAAGGAAAGCATCATGCTTAGGCAAAGCAGAATTATTGCATACAAACTACCACAGAGTCTTAGAGCCAGGAAAATGCTGTAGCTTTGTTTTGTGCCCTTCTGCAACGGTCTTCTTCTGCTCTGTGGCGAAAAGTCCTTGTTAAAGACAATGTACTTTGGTCTCAGCCTATTGATCTCATCATTTTGGAGTAGAGCTAGCCAGGTAACTTGTTCTATTTGTTTCCCAGACCAGAAAAAAATGTGAAAAGAACCTTATATTTTGGATCAAATGAAAAAACAGCTTTTGACTTGGAAAGATATTGATCGCTTTTTTCATTTCAAATCAACTGAAACAAACTATATACATGGTTGTCAGATTACTTAATACTTTTTGTTCAACCCTTTTTCTTCGGATTTCAGTCAGTAACAAAACCAAATTTCTTTGGTCTCCAAATATACTCTTAACAGCTGGAGCAAATTGTTCTGAAGTTTGTAACACCTTAGCTCCTTTATTTTTTTAAGCTTCATTTCACAAATCTGAGTGGAATTTCTGGATAGTTTTTGAGACTGTTAAAATTCCATTTTTTTCTAATCTACTCTTGCGTGACATGTGTTGGAAGGTTCTAGTTTCACACGTTTGCTGACAGTGAAACTCTGTTTTGGTACTGATTGCAGCTGTACTTACTTCAGGCCGAATCATAGGAAGGAAAGATCTTATGCTCTGTTTTCAGAGAAAAGGCCAAACAGTGTTACAAGTCAAATAAGGTTCTGCAAAGCCACCTTTCCTCACCATTCAGCATTAGTAGAACAGCACGAGATTGGGCACAAATATGAAATTTTGTCCTATTCTCATGCTTTCTCTTCCTTTTCTTCTATAGACATACACCCGATGTGACATTAAAAGGTTTTGGCATGTGCATACGTACCATGTTGTAATGACAAGAGTTACAACAGCAATTAATTCACTACAGAACTCATGCACCTTTATATATTCAATTCAAAATGTTTTACTCTCAGAACAAGTGCCTAAATAATATATGCTTTTCCGTGTATCGTCTTTTTCCACAGTTTAACTTGGAAAAGTATTCCGGCTGCTGTGTTACTTACAACTGAACTCTCAGCACGACTGTCAGCAATCCAAACAAAAGGCCGGCAAGTAATCCCAAATCAAGTCCCAAAATGATGGATGCTATACACGTAAAAACCCAGATCATCTGGAGAAGAAACAACAAATTGAAAGTCTGTTAACCACAAAATGTTCCTGTGGTCACTGCAAAGAATCACTAGCCCGGAGTAGCGTAAGAATTTAAACTTCGAAGCTGACCACAGCACACCAGCAATTTACTGACTCCCACATGAAAGTCTCCTTCCCCCTCCAAGCTGCTTCTGTCTGTTGTCACCTTACTAAACATATTTGACTTTTAGATTTTAAATTTTTTATTATTTTAAACAGAGGGACATTCTTCCAGGATCCAGTTACCTTAGTGAAATTTAAGAGGATGAAATTAACTGTTGCATTTCTTAATCTTTTTTCTTTCCCTGATGGTAGTAGTTTTGCTAATCTTACTGTAGAAATCTGCAGCAATGTGTTCTCCCCAAGGTGTTACGCAGCGTAAGATGGCCCTCCTAGAGGCACAGAGGGAAGGGGCTGCGCTGCGCAGCGACGCCTCAGAAATCACCGTTCCAGAGAGAAGCCTTTCAGAGGAAGAGCTGGATGGGGCTTTCTAGAGCCTCCACCGAGTACTGGGGCAGAGCGGCTGAAGTGGCTCCTTGGGTCCTCCCTGCGTCACTGCCCAGGAGGGCGCCCAGCAGAGCTGAGCACTCAACAGGCTGGAGTCAGGGGCATCTTTTGCCTAAGGGGACTAGTGAAGACTGACTGAAACTATTCAAATGTCCTTAAAACAGGGACTGCCCAAAGACACACGCTGTAAAATGTGTGCACACCAAGGACTGCATGGGGAAAATACTTGCCACGTGTTCTTTTCCTGCCCAAAGAGCCGTGCTAAGGGACAGAAGTCGCAGTGGGAGATGGCTTATTTATTTATTTTTAAAATTTTATGAGGTCCACCCAAGATTATCCAGGCAAATGGGGTCCTAATGTGATAATGATATAAATATAAATGTGTGAATTAAGAAAATGTCAACTTTCTGACCATTTTAAGCTGTGCTGAAGATCAGAGCAGAATGCTAAGGGTGAGCACAGGCTGTCTTTGTTCTAATTTTTGAGGTATCTCAACACGAGATTTCTGTAAACTGTACTCATTGCTATGAAGGACACTGCACAGGGTTAACAGCCTCATCAGTGTCCTTACAGCGGGATGCAGGGAATAAAGATGATGTGGAAAATACTATGTAAAACTCTAAAATGGAGACTTTTTCCCGGCTTAACAGCTCTTTTATTTGGAGGATACACACAGAAGTGATTTGCAAATCTGAAGTCAGGTCTACAAAACTCTGTTTATGTGGTAGCTACAAGAAATTTAGATGGCATTAAAAGGCAAAAAAGAAAAAAGCGCAGGCAAAAATATTAAATGAGAAATAAAGATCACTTACAGCATCCACTTTATTTTGTCTCCACAGACGAGGAACATCAAACACTTGCATGAACATCCCTTTCAAGTTGGCTATAACTACAGCTGCCAACACAGACTGTGAACAAAAAAAAAAAAGTGAAAAAAGTGCTATTCAGAACAAATTTCTGTCAGTTTGCTGTCTGCAAAGTGTACACACTGTATGTGATAAATCAGAGCCTCATCTAGTATCAGTCACAGTTAAGTGGGGCAGTGAATATGGTCCCTAAAAGCTGAGCGTGCGGATGCGGCTGCTGGTGGCTGCTGCAGAGCAGACGTATGGTACCTTTTGCAAGGGCTCCAGCAGCTTCCCCAGGGCCACAATGAAAATGAGAACGATCCCGGCTGAGATTATCCCGGCCACCTGCAAAGGACACAGCGGTTAGAGGAACCGAGCCTGGAAAGTCTCCGTCTTTCTTATGCAAAGCAAAATAGCCAGGTAGTTGCACGTTGCACTTCGGCAGGAACAGGGAGACCTGCCAGGAGGCCGCTGCGCTCAGGCTCGCGTGGGCAACCACTAAATGCTCCGGCTGCACTGAGGGAATCAGAGCAAGCAGGGAGCATGAACAAGCAGGGAGCAAGGAGCATCTCTTGGGAGGCAGAACTGTACGGAGAGGGGCAGGCTCTGTGCAGCTCTGCCGGAGAGGGGCTGCTGGGGGTCCTGAGCACCTCGCCAACAGGTAGGGCTGAGGCTGCAGCGCTGGGGACGAGGAGCACAGAGAACAGGGAAAGGTGGCCTGCGAGCAGAGCATGTATGGCCCTCAGCAGGGCTGCCCCGCACGGCCTGCGGCCTTCACCCAGCACAGGTCTGTGGAGAGGCTCTCCTCGCTCCGACCGCATCCCCACTGTGACACGCAGTCCCGTATTTGGGCATTAAACTCTGGGATGTTAGTCCCGAATGTCTGCTGACCTCTGATGTAACTCACACTAGGAAAAACATTATTGCCCTCTTCTGGCAGAGCTACAAAAAGGAGTGCAAGGAGCTTGCCAAGAGACCTATGGCTTTTCTTCCTCCTTTTGTGAAATGTGCCTGCTGTGCCCTCTGCAAGCTTAAACTTAGTTGTGCAAGAACTGGCGAGGAGAGGTCATGCGTTACCTGAGTCTTTCCCCCAGTACTTTCTTGGACTGCAGTCCGTGACAGAGCTGTAGTCGCAACAAAACAAGAGAAGGATCCTGAAAAAATGTTGCTGATCCCAAAGGCAATAAACTCCTGAAAGATAATTGGATGATGCTGTAAATAAAGAGTCCTTTAAGACAATTTTGCAATGTAGAATGACAATATTTTTCTACAGTACTTCTTAAAGTAGGTAGCACTGTACAACTGAGAAGAGCCTAGATATTAATATGGACACTCCTTCCTCCTGTGCCACTGTGCCCGTGTCTGTTCAGAAGCCAACATAACTCAGCTTGTGTTCTCTCATTGAGGTGGACAAGCCTGTCTCAGTATAAAGGTTTTTATAGCTCGTTTCCATCACTGTTATCAAAGCTAACTTTTCTATCAACTACACTGGCATAACTGCACAAACACATGGGACTGGTATAATTTAACTCCTGAATACCGTCAGCTAAACAAATACTATGAAATCAGTACAACAGCCTGAGTTTAGATGAACCTTTCATTAGTGCAAGGCATTCTATTATTAGTAGAACTAATCAGGAGCTTTCCAAAGAAATGCAGTTTCACTGAACACTTCTAGCTTGCTGAGCCAAAGGTATTTCAGGCTGAACATCCCAATGAGCTCCTGCTGAGCCCGGCAGCGTTCTCACAGTTTGGCCCAGGGTCACAGCTGCTGGCACCTATGGAGGCTGTTTTTCTGCTTAAGTGACAAGGACCCCAGTGCTGGATGCCCACGGATCTGGGACATTCCTCTGGAGCGCGTCCGGGAAATGAGGCTTTGGGAGCTGCCGTCAGACCCGTATCATTGACAGCAGCTTTGCTTTAGCTGAGCCAATGTACAGTCGCAAGAGCTTTCTACCCCAAGCAAGTTCTTAAAAATACAATGGCAATGATTTTGACTCTCACTTACTTCCCCCCAAAGGACCCAAAACTCCAAGCCAAACCTGCGAGCCAAAAACTCTGCTTTTGATTTAACACGAACTACAGGGGCAAGATTTTGAAGTCGTGCTCTTTAACAGAGCAGAGCGAGGTGGTTCAGACCTATTCCCTCATAACAGCTCTGTTCTGGGAGAAAGTGCCAGCAACAGAGCTCCTAGCATGCCCAGGACACAGCCAGCGACAACATAAACCCTGGGAGAAAATGGGATTAGGTTCTCCTGCCAAATGATTTCACTACCTGTGTTTATGATCTTAATTTAAATTCTGCAGTTTACCTCAAATAACTATTTGCCTGTCAACTATTTGGCTGCATTTAACCTTTGGTATGGTTGAAATTCATAGCAGTAGTACTGGAGGAAGGCACATTGCTTTTTAGAGACAGAAATTCAACCACTATATTGTTTTATTAGTATCTTTGAAGCACATCAGTGCTGGCAGTACAGCATATTCAGCAAAAGAACAGCATAAATAGCACTTTCAGGAATATGCATTATTCATACACACTTATTAAACTGTAAGTCAATGCATTATTATAAAGTGACCACCCCATTCAGAAATATAATTCCTTGACATGCTGCCTAGGAGTATATCCCAGATCCAGCATTACAACCAGGGCGCAATTCAGAAGCACTCAAATACGGAAGGACCCATTAAGCGAGGTGCTCCGCTTGTTTGTTTTCTGCAGTGAATGCATTTTTCTAAACCTTCAAAGGGTGCAGTTCAAAACCAGAATACACGTGGGACAAGGAAGTTGTATGACTTTCTCCCACACCCACAGACAAGCCACAGAGGCAGCCAGGCAGACACCAAAAGCCTCCAAGAGCCTCCCAGGGCATCGCTCGTGCAGCAGCGCAGCTCAGGGCTCTTAGAAACCAGTGTTTACACCAACACAACTGCCCCATGTAGGCAGCTGTTCAGGTATGTGCATATACTGCTGGGCATCTACTTCTGTGGAGCTACACCACTTAGCTATACAAGTGTATTCATATTGTTACAACTGGTGTCACTGAGAAGCACAATTTAATACTACTGGAGTAAAATCATACCCTAAATGAAAATGCTGAGGGGATACAAAAGCTGCGTGTGGACTTAGCCTAAATAAAGCTGCCCAGGGCAGCTTCTGAGCTTGACTTTGCCTGCTTCCCGGCCCCAGCAACTGATCTCAGCAGATCCCTATGGCTGGAGGTGGGAAGCAGGTACCTAGAGCTGCCCAGGTCAACTTCATATTGCCTGAAGCATCCTCCAAAAAGCACGGAGCTCTAACAACCCATCAGAGCAACTGCAGTCACTAACAGGATAAAGGAGAAATTAATTAGGATGAAAAAATTAATTAGGATGAAAGGCCCCCACTGAGGGAAGAACACATCTGCCCCATCTCTATGGTTAGTTTGTTAGATGGCATATGGCCATGTCATCTGTGGTTTTGCACTAGTTAAATGAATTTCTCCTGTCAGATTTTACATTTTGACTTGAAGATCTGTATAGATGTTTCATCTGACTACCTAAGTCAGATTCGAACAAAACTTGTCTTCGCTATGGTCGTAAGCTATTTCAGTTTTACTTACCTGGTTTCCATCAATAGCATAGTCATATTTGGTTGCATAGACCTTCCCCACAGAGACTGCGATAGCATAAGCAACGATAGAAATGGAGAACGAGGCTGCTATCATCTCGGAAAAGAGGCTGACAGCTGGAGGTTCAGGAGGCACAAATCTAGCATTTAGAAAATATATTCATATTATCAACTTTGATCAAATTCTTTTCTTCCTAGAGTTGTCAAGGAGCTTGAGGCAGAGGCATACAGGTTGCTTATAATTTCAAGCATAATATTTCAAGTTAATAAAAAGGTGGAAACAGCCCATTGACATACAGAACACGCTTATCTAGCTCACCATAGCCCAAATCCTGATGCTATTAGTCAACAACAAAGCTCCTGTTGTTCTCAGCATGACTGAGATTTGGCCTTGTGATAGCCAAGTGAAGAAGTACAGTTTTTGAAGCACTGAATAAAGGATATATTCAATAGTACGATGAATTACATAAATACATTAATGACGCTTCATACTATTGTTAACACACTTCATCGGAAGATCTCAACAACATTTTTATCCCCTACTGTGTTTTCCACAAATTTTAATTAATCAGGGCTTGAATAGCAAATGGAATGTGAAGGTTGCTACTGTGAAGTGCTCCGAATCTCTCAAGAGAAAGTCTCTGCCAGTGTTATCCTCAAAATCCTTGTGCCTGGGAAGTTGTATGTGACAATATTGATTAGGGTAACGGCAGCAGCATGAATATGGGCCACGGTGGGACAACCCCTGTTTTTAGAAATCAAATCTATGCAGAAGTAAACTTTCCTTGTTAAAAGTTTGGGAGAGGGCTTATGCTTTTGTGTCTTTATGTCATGCGTTTACTGTGTGAGCATGAAACAAGTAATTCTGAAACAAACTTGAAGAGTCACATAATATCCCCAATCCCATTTTATTTAATCAGATAGCATCACGGCCAGGTGTAAGATGTCAGAAAACTCTAGCTCTGATTAAGATCCTAAACTCAGATTATAGCTCCCCAAATCTCTCTTACATCTTTTATTTTACAACTGTCATTTTTATCCACTTAAAAATTATCTATGTCCCAGAATACAGAAAACACTCACCCTCTAGGAATGCTCTTAACAATGCCAGCGTTGTATTTTTTTTCAAAGTCAGCAGCGTACGAAATACCAGTGGCTATTATTGTCTGTAATCAAATAAAAACAGTTTTAAACCTGAAAAAATGCACATGTCTTCCGGTAGCCAGCCCCATCTTTTGCAATTGTTATCAGCTCTTGTTATGGTTTTCCTCTTACCACAATAACTTCTATTGGTATAGGTATGGGTATCTTGTGTTTGAACCGATCATTTATTTCTTTAACTACCACGCAGACAAAAATGGTGATGAGTCCAGCAACAAGATCTGCAATGTTGGTGGTACCAATTCTTTCAAATATTTCAATAAGAGTCTGGAGAAAAAAAAAAAAAAAAGAGATACAATTTAAAATACACCTTGTCCTCTTAAAGGCTCCAATACATGCTCAAGAAGAAACATGCACAGGGGCTTGGGGGAGCCCAGGGGTTTTGCACTCCTTTGCTCAGGACAGAGGAGTCCAAGTCTGTCTAACATTCTACCAAACTGTTCCAGAGTCACTGAAAGGACTTCATGGTTTAAGTCCTTTCAGTGGAATTTAAGTTAAAAGGCATAACTGACTGCACAGAATGTTTCTGCTTCCCGCTTTCTAGAAAACTTTTTTTTTTCTTCTTTTTTTTTTTTGTTTTCTAACCTGTGCTTTTCCTCTACCTGTTACTGGGGCAAGGAGAGAGACGTATTCAACTCCTTTGCTTTATGAAGATACTAGCAGAGATGCTTATTTTTTTGAAGACAGAGCCACCTAGCAGACCCTGGGACAAGTATCTGGCTCTCTACATGCCAGCACATCCAGCCTGGGGATCTTTATTCCCTATTTCTGCTCACGCCTGGAGAACGAGCCTGCCCAAACCCTCCAGGCTGGGGGGACCCCTGCACTTGCAGAAAGCAGTCGCCCAGTCTCATCATCAGGTACGTTCAGCCTCATCATCACAGGCCAGAGGCCTCCCACAACTGGAGTACAACCAGCAGCTTCCTTATCTACCCTTGCCGTGCCCTTGCTTGCTCTCCTACAGCGCATGCAATGGACACTTACATTTGTGTCGCCTTTATATAAGCATGACAAAGGTATCACTTTTAGGTGCTCAGAGGAAACAGGAAGGGCCGGTCAGGGAAAGCTGCACACCCTTCTCCATCCATCAGGGCTGTATATTCTAAGCTAAAGAAACAAACTTTCCCGAGACGCGAGGCGAGAGGCTCCTGTGCGGGCAGCCTGAGGCCGTTTCCTGCCCTACGCACCGCTCACAGCTCTGGCTGCTCCTCCAGCCCTGGGCACCCGTGTGGGGAAGCGCTGGTTCCCCACGGGGGTGCGAGCCCTGCTGGCGACAGACACCCCGTGCTGCCGCGCGCAGCACGCGCTGCCGGAGCGTGTCCGAGAGCTGCTTGGGCTGGCACAGCAGATCCCTGCTGCCGCGAGCCACAATCACTTTGCTCTGCGCACGCCTACAGACACAGCACCTGTTAGATCGCAGAAACTCCAGGCTTTAGCCTTAAAAAAGGCAGCGCCCCAACCCTAGCCCAGCTGGAGCTGGCTGAACTGGTTAATTCCTTTTCAAAATACTTTTTGCTAGCTATACCGGCCTCCCATAAACATTAAAAAAAAAAAAAGATGGAAAAACTGGATCAATTAGTCTTATCACCCTGCCACGGCTGCGTTCTGAGGTTTATAAGACAATATTTTGTCTTTCCTAATTTTCCACAGCCTAAGGAAAAGCATTTTCATTAATGCCAAAAAGGCACGTGACAAAGCTTTTTCATTTTTAAAATACTATTTTACCAGTATTCCACCAGATTTTTTTTTCTGAAATTCATCTTGTTATTTGTAGTTGGATTCATTCTGTTTTTACTGATCTACGTGTCTAATTTATTTTTCATTTACAATGAGACCAGCTAGTCTGGTTGCCTGAACTGGCACATTCTGTAAGCTGTGTCCTAGCACAGCTCTTATATAAATTTATTATCTAAATGAGAAGTGTGATGGAAAATCTAAAATACTAAGGACCTAAACAGTTTCATGCTGAAGTCAGTACCAAAATGCAATAATTTCTCCGGGAATGGAGACTTTTCTGTAATACGAAACTCTCTAGGAGTTCAGTATTTCTGTAATCCATGCAGGACAGTTCTTCATTTGATTTGATTGTTTTCTCTAAAATCAACAGGTGGACTTGTAGCAGCAGTATTTAGCCTCTCTTTAGCTAACCGATAGGTACCAGTGCCTGGAAAAGACTTAACTGTTGCAATTAGCTTTCGAAGTCTGAGGAACCAAGAAAGCAACTGCTTAGAGTCCCCAGTTGCAGGTGACAACCTCCAGATCTGGATGAGAGTGAGACTAGGACCTAAATAAATATCCTATACTTACCACTATATATATGAATCATTCCCGCATGAAATGGAAGCAGAAGATGGAAGATAACAAGCAATTATGAAAAAATTCTAGCATAACATAAAAACAAATTAGAAGGCCGTACTTACATATATTATGGAAAGGACACCATTATAGTTTTTAGTTGAAACATTTAGGACTATTTTCAATTGTGACACAAACACTTGAACAGCAGCTGCAGTTGTGAAGCCCCCAACTAGTGGATCTGCAAGGTACCTCACAATGAAACCAATCTGAAGGACTCCAAATACTACCTGGAAAAATCATGAAGAATAACAATTTGCTAAACAATAAAGTGATATAGTAACAAAAGTGCAAAATGTTCACATTCACTCCCATGAACACGCCTCTGGAAAGGAGGAAAACTCATCGGGCAGGATCAAGCCTAATTGCTTGTTATCTGTACCCGCACTGGCCCGGACGGTGGCCGAGTCAGTTTTTATCCATGGAACAAGCTCGTGGGCCTGAGGAAAACTGCAACAACCTGACCCACAGTGAGCCTGAAAGCATGAAACACATTTTGTTCCGCAAAAGATGGACTCGCATGAGGCAAATCCTTTCCAAGGGAAGCAACATGCACAGCAATGTGGGAGGATCCAGTCTTTACTGTTTCAATAGACAAGTGGGCAAAGGACAAATTTTAGATGCCACTGACCTCACTCAGATGACACCTATGTGCCATTCGTTAGAACTTATTTTCTATGCACCAATGCCCATCTTTGCCTTCCATAGTACAAATTGGCACCTACTGTTTATCTGGTAATTTCTTATGCCTTGCTCTTTTCTCTTTGTTCACATAGATTTTCAGCACAGCAGCCAAGTGTAGCTTAATATCATGTTCAGAGAAATAAGAGAGACCTGGAGAACTGTGTGCAATGATGCTCCAGGATACATACTATTAGCACTTTTATGTAGGTATCTTGCTCTACAGCCATCAGGTTATTCTTCTATTGACTGTGCCCCCTGCCACAAACTCTGCCAGGATAAAAGGAATAGTCCCCTGCCAGCTCTTCAGCATTTGAGATAACTTCCTTTTATTTTTGTGTTTTACTATGCACTAATAGGTATTTCCACGCTGTATTTTTACCCATTAAAATTAAAGCAAAAATCAACCTGAATCTTCAAGTCAACTATTTTACCTGTAGAATTCCAACCAGAAATGTGAGGGTACTGGCTATCACCACTCTCTGGGCATCTCTGGCGTCAGTGTCTATCGATGACCCGGTGCTGTTAGCCCCTGTAACATTACTGTCATCTATGAGAAAGTTATCATCAGGGGCCATGCTCTGTACGACAGATCCCACCATCAAACTGACTACAGGAAATGGACCTGTAAGGACAAACAGAACACGTTCAAGTTTACATGAAAAGACACATTTATCAGATACTATACCTGAAAAAAGAAGCATCTATCAGGGGAGACAAGCCAAATAGAAATTACAGAATTAATATAATATTTCAGTTGGGACACATGATTTATTATTTGTAGAACTAGGGGCCTAGGAGCCACATGCACTGTGAACATGACCCAGAGATACAATCCCTACCTTAAATAGCTTACTATTGTATTGCACACACATGGGTGCAGTTCTGTGCTTTGCTTGAGTCAGTTTAAGGCTGTACCAAGCCCAAATGGGGCAGCAAGTTGCCATGACCTCCCTTGCGTTCATGCAGCAGCTCTGTGGCCCGCAATGAGCGGGCTGAAGATGACTGAAACCATAGTTGGCCAAGATACAGACAGACAGGGAGTAGGTGATGGTTGTGTCGGCAACACACAGGCTAAACATAGTCACATTTATTGTGGTTATGACTATAGTTAAGCAGAAGAAGGAAAATGTGGTGAAAATTTTAAAGAATATAAGTTAATTTTATGGATATTATAGAGAGCAGTTCATGGCTATGTAAAAGAGCATAGGAGAAAGTATAGAAAGTTTGAGAATGTGCAAAGTCAGGATGTCAGTGTAGGTAGAGGTGAGACTCATATCTGGAGAACAAGACTATTCTGTTAAAGTGGAAAAAAAGAAATTTCAGTGACCAAGTTGTGTATGAAGAAAGCTTAGATAAAAATTTCAACTATGAGAACTGACATGCGGAGAAAAAACAAACGTATTTTAGAGCAAGTATTCAGAAAGAATCAACAAGGTTTACCCATGGCCATGATGCGAGGCCTAGAGCAAGGCTGGAGCAGAGACACAGGTCCTGGGGCTCCGCGACAGGCAAGAAGCTGATACTGTCCCCAGTGATGGAGAAAGGATGTAGCAAGGAAGGCTTGCGAAGAAGACTAGGAGCTCTGTTTTAGCCATCTTGAGCTTTAGCTGGTAGACAAAATGTCTGTTCCTACTGCCTACTGTGGCCTTGGTCTGTAATCTCTTGCACAGGGCATAGCCAAAGACAAAATTTAAACTTCAGCATAAATGCAAGCAAAAGGCGTGCGTGGACACAACTGAAGACAGCTGTGATCAACAGTCGCCTGTACAGAGAAGAAGTAAGTCTTAAGTCTCTCAAACCCACCAATATTAATATTCAATACAGCCAATATAATTCGGAAAGATTTGGATTTTATACAGAATGATCTTAAAAGATCTTATACAGAATATGACTGTTCACAGTAAGAATTAGCACTTTGTAAAAGATAATTCACTGTGTCTTGAACACATGCAGTTACCAACTGAGATGTGCCTTGATGTTCCCAGGAAAAAGTATGTCAGGATAGGAAAAAAGGCAGAATAGAGACCATATCCAACAGGAACGGCAACCAGCAGAGCGTACGCCAAACCTGAAACGATACAGCATCAAAATTTCATCTTTGAACATCTCTCAGCAGATCAGCATCTTGTCTGAAATAGGGTTAGACTTTCAGACAGATTCATGTCCTTATCCAGATAAGATTTAGGATGCATTCTGCATCTTTATTTAAGTTGCAGGCACATATGTGAATGCTATCATCTATAAATAACAGTATCTCTCACACTGGCATTTGGATGGGTAAGTATGGAAAGATATTCCTATGTTTGTATAGGTAGCACAAAACAGGCTCAAATGTGAAGTTCCAGCAGGGGAACCCTGTTGTACAAGTGTATGGTTTGTCCTTTGAGGGAAGAAAAACAAACAAACAAAAGAAAAAAAAGAAGGAATAATTAAAATGTCCTGGTTATAAACAGAATTTTCAAACTTGGATGACAAATTATTGTTCAGCAAATCAGGCTACTTTTTCACATATCAGTTTATAAACTTAAATGCCAAAAGAAAACCACCCGAATTGGAAGTTTTGACTTTCAAAACTTATCACCTTCTCTCTTTGTATAAAAGCAACATACTCAGTTATTGGTAGCTGGTGACACTTCAAGATCCCAGAAACATCTTTTGGGGCAATCATTTTGGCCATATTTTCATATTATTTGGAATTTCATATCTATGTTTTTTTTTTTAAATACAATAAACATCTGACACAGATGAGACTTCCTTTAATTAGGATTTTCATATATTTTGGAACACCTATGGAGATGTGAGACCTGACAGTGTCCTTCAGAAATACATTTTATAAGTGGGTTCTTCTTGTGGGAAAAATCAGTCTTTTCATGCAAAAATACACTCGAGGAAGCTGCAGAAGCTCTGCCATCTGCTTCCTGCATGACTGTGGACAAGTCACTTCAGGTCTTTATTCCTCAGGTCACTCTCTGCCTGGGGTTAGAAGTTTGTGACACTTCTTTTCTGCTAATCTTTGCCTTACTAGTGCTCTCCAATGGAGCAGGCACTAGGGAATGTTGGTGGCTATTTAAGAAATAATGACTGTCAAAATGAGATCTTGCCTGCAGGGTTCAACTGAAGCACAGGCAATACTGTAGTGCCTAGAAAATCCTGTGTCTCTTCTTTTCGGAATTTGGTTCGTTCAAAGTCAATGGAGGACAGTAGACACCTTCAGAGGACAAGCTGCCCCTTTTGTCATAGGCAACTCACTGGGAATTAGACAAATTGCTCTTTTTTTGGGGTCTCTATAGTCTTTGCCCCCTTCTGTAAATAATCTCCACTACTGGAAAACGAGAGACAGTTACTGTAACCTCCCACAGTTCTGAAAAACTGTGAAAATAGCATGAAAACATTGTTCAAAGCAAAGAAATTAATATGCTCTACAGCTTGTCTGTCTTACCCCTACCACCTGCCTTGGCAAGAACTTGAAAGGTTCTCCCCTTTAAGCCTTTTTTCTCTTAACTGAGATCATTTCACTAATTTCTCCTTATTTCTGCCACTTTTCTATTTACTCATCTACTGAATGTTTTTCTAATAAATGTAATAAGAAAAACTGAATAATACAAGCATACGCTGTAACTATCCGTTGACTTCATCAATCTTGGAAAGAGGACAACATGTTTTACTTGCAAATCCTTCCCTCTTGGGCACTGTTTTCTGCAAATATTTGAATTATCTTGTGGGCAAGATTTTTAACGAAAATAGACAGAAAGTTGCACTCATTTTAGGGGAATAGCTAGATAACTAGATTTCTGTATCCAGCTGTGGGCTTGGGCAACCAGAAAACTGAAATAATATCACATGATGTATTCAATCCATCCCAGTATAAAAGAAAGTTAAAATATTAAAAAGCCATTTTGAGCAAAGAGCTCTGCAAAGCGTTAAACGCAGTTAGACCCAGACTCTCCTAGCAAAGGAAACCCAAGACTTCAAGCTGAGCAGGTAAAGCGCGAACTAAATCCATCAATTCTGGATCGCGAAGCGCTGTGCAGCGCCAGGCGCGGAGCGGCGGGGCTCGGGGGGC